GGGTTTTTGTGTGGGTTGTTAATCTCAAAACTCTGGTTCAAAGAGGTGGAATGGCCTTTTGGAGGAGCTACATACAGCGTACTAAGCTCTTCTTTATTCTTTTTGGAGATGCTATAGGGGTACTGATTTTCCAGCGTCAGCAGTGTTTTTTCAAATCATGTTGTCCCCTTAGGGATGCATTTAGACTTCCCTTAGGTCATTCTGCTCTCAGGAGACGTTTTCACTCAAAACTCTGGTTCAAAGAGGTGGAATGGCCTTTTGGAGGAGCTACATACAGCGTACTAAGCTCTTCTTTATTCTTTTTGGAGATGCTATAGGGGTACTGATTTTCCAGCGTCAGCAGTGTTTTTTCAAATCATGTTGTCCCCTTAGGGATGCATTTAGACTTCCCTTAGGTCATTCTGCTCTCAGGAGACGTTTTCATTACATGAACTATGTCTTGTCAAGTTCCCATGGGAAGGGTTTTTGCCTGACTTGTCTACTGTCAGCTGCGGTTTTTGCCTTCTGTTCCTTGAAATTACTGATGAAGGGTGTTAAGACTTCATGTGCATTAGCAGTGGGGATAAGTTGGAGATCAGAATGAATAATATGTATCTACTGATGGTCCTTACACACTGGTTTCTTTAGTTCAACCGGAAGAGTTACGTGGGTTGTCTTCTATGTGTCTGGTTAATTAAATCTTGCATTTCAACTCTGGAGGTGCTCCACCCAGAACTCATTGTACACTGATTGGAGGAAAAGGGCTGAGATGCAATATATCTATGTCACTGTCTGGCAAGGCCAAGTGAAACTCTGGGCAGAACTCACTGGCTTAGGCACCACACTGTGCCAGGGCGATTTTGCTGCGTTTGAACTCAGGGTTTTTTGGTTTTTTGAAGCATTGCACCATGCTGTACCAGGAAGATACATGAGTTAAAGCTATCCTTAGAGCAAGGATCTTTGCACAGTGTTCCACTGAATGGTTAGATATATCCACAATCAGAGACTGACACGATTGAGAATAAAAAGTTTTCATTCGCTGTACTAAATGGCAGTCTGTATAATGAGAAGCTATTTATCATTTATTACAGATGAAAAACAAATTACAGGGACTATTGATAAGAAAGAAACTCCTGGTTTATAGACAGTATTGGAGACGAGTGAAGTCATTTGGAACTCCAGGAAAAAGGGTTTATGGAATTAAATAGTTACAGATACTTGGTGATTTATAAACCTTTTAACAGTCATGCATAAAACTAGAGTCTAGAAGTAGTCACTTAGGGACCATTGCAATTACTTCTTTTCATAGCTCTGTTGTGTGGTAACAACAGATAGAAAGGGAATAAAATATCCCATTATATTGCCACTGTGTATCAGTGATTCAGGCACAGAAATAATATGAACAAAATGACAGGAAATGTGTTAGGTGAGTAGTTTTATTGAAAGGTATATATTACCACTTAAAATAATCTCTTATTACAGATTCAACCAACTCTGGAGACAACATGTACACTTTAATGAATGCAGTACCACCTGGACCCAACAGACCTAATGTAAATATGAATCTAGTTATATACTTCTTTGAATTATACAGCCGTTTTTTATCTGCACACCACGTTTCCATCACATACCATTAATACTAAGTTTTCCATTTTTATAGAGTATGCTTCAGTGGCTTTCCCCCCACCACGTACTTTTTAGTAGTTCCCAAATCAATCATGCCAATAGAAGCCAAATAATGGTCGGGGCGTGTTTTTTTCTGCATGGAAAAGGCCTTAGAAGCTTGTGCACGTGGATTTTGGGGACGACTTAATTTGTCACACAGTAGTGCAATAGACTTCTGTGTGGTAGGACGTCATTCTAGGAGCTGCCATTAAGCATTAGTTTCTGCAGGATTCAGACTTTTGTTATACAGAGGTATTTACTTCTGAAAAAGGAGAATAAAATGCCTGAAAGCAACTCTGCCATTTTGTAAAAAAGGATAAAATTAATACCTCTAAGAAGAAACAAATTTATCTGCTTTTCAAAATGGGATGTTAAGAATGAAACCTATTAATAACATTTAAGTGTTTGCCTGATGAACTAGTTGACTGGTGACTACTTTAGCCTAAATTTCAGCAGTTAAAGAACTGACAAAAATCGAGATTCTTAGGTAGAACTTGTTTCTTCTCTGATCTTTCTCTGTGCCTTCAGTTTTACTGTGTTTCTCTGGTTACAAACATATTTCATTTAATTATGATCCACATTATGGGCCTTTTGAAAAAAAGCCAGTAGAACTTAAAAATAGAGATGTTGCTGTATCATTATGCAGCAGATTTTTGAGATTCTTCTATAATGTTAATGCCTTCAAGTTCTTTAAGAACTGAATTTAAGGTTAATAGCTTAAATTGGACAGAAACTGCTCATGATGCAAAGGTAATGCAGAGTAGTTCCACTGTCCGTACAGCTAGGGTGGGGTTTGAAAGCTTTTAATTGATGACTTACTCATTGAAGAGAATCGTAACATGCCCTTTAACTTCAGTGGGAGTAGAGCTAGGACAGCACTAGCAGGTTTGAAACTCATACACAGAGTAGAGTATTGAAGTAAATGAAAAAGTATTCCTAAATTGTATTCCAGTTTACAGAGGTGAGAGTCTTCAAAAATTATGAAGGTAGCATTGGAAAAAGTAAACAAAAGCAATGATGTTTTTGCAGTCTTCACGCAGAGGACTCTCACTAGACTTTTCACATTCAGAGCTGGGACCTACGTATTTTTCCTTTTTTTTTTTCTCCCTGAGGAATATTTTCTTTTTATGAGATTAACTACAAAAACTCTACAGTAATAACAGTTTTTAATGTCTGATCCTTTTGTAGTTTCCAATGGGGCCAGGGTCAGATGGACCTATGAGTGGACTGGGTGGAATGGATTCACATCATATGAATGGATCTTTAGGTAATAATAGTACATATTACAAACATTGTGAATTTTCAATGACTAGTGCCTTTTTCTGTGACCAGTTCTCTGAGTTGTGTGGAAGACTGTATGTAAAAATATTGTAAAAAAAAAAAAAAAAGAAGCTGCGTGTACCTTAATAAGAACTATTAAGATACTTTTTGAAGCATGTGAGTTGGCATACATAATGCACCTCTGGAAGGAAAATATATTTTACTTTTGTAAGAGAGCATAGTTTTAATCCAGTTGATGAACACCGCTCTGAAAGCATACTTTTGCAGAGGTGAGGTGCAAGAATCGCTTTTATTTGCCTCTCTTCCTCTTTCAAAATCTTGAGGAAGTGTCATTGTGACATGCTGGTGTATGTTCTGATCGATTACCTGGGAGTTATTACATAACTTTGATGTATGTGTTATACCAGTTTTATCTCAACATTCTTATATCTTCATCAGTTCTATAATTAGCCATATATCTGTCAAGTGGGAGTACTGTTACTCTGTCCACATTAGCAGCTTCAGACAGGTGCCAATCTTAATGCACCCAGCAGAAGATAAATTCTTGTCAAGGCTCGCAGAGGCAGGAGGGAGAATGTACTGTTTGACTTCTGACACTGTGCTTTTTGAAGGACTCATATCTAGGTGAGAAGCCTTGCACAACTCTGCAAAACACACACGGCTGTAGTCTCCTGAGTATCCCGAGCTTGCTCTTACTCTTTGCTGGAAGGATGATAGATATTTGAAAGGGATTTAAGAAACAAGCCACAGCTATATAAATTGCATTTATACCTCCCTTTTCCATACCCACAGAGTAAATAAATACCTTGGTTTTATTTCTGCTCATACAGTAACACCAGGCCAGTAGCTCCAAGTATGGGTCTTGTGTGGTCCTCCTCACTTCTGCCTGCACCAAGGGGTGCTGGTCATGCAAGCAACAACAGCGCGGAACCTCAGGCTGCACGGGCTTCAGATCTCTTTCTCCTTCTATCCCCCCCTCTCCTCTGTCCACCAGCAACGTTCTCTTACCTATGGGAGCTAGCCGGATGCCCACAAGGCACCACCACCAGCCTGCTCAGCAGCGTTTTCCACTGCAGGGACAAACCCAAGCGAGCTAGATGCAGGTCAGGCAGGCAGAAGCCAAGCTCCCAGTGTTCCCTTTGCTTCTGCCCCCAACAAAAAGCTCTGTCACCTTCCCAGCACAGGCACGGACCAACCTAAACTTTTAAGTCCATACTACCATGGTGGCTGGAGATGTATCATTCGTAGCCCAAAAGTGGGAGGTTGTGAGACAGGGTAAGACAAAGGGAGAAATTTAGAGAGACTGTGACAAGATGAGAAAGCAAGCCATCAAACCTGATTTAGCAGATATGTTCTGAACGATTAAAATTCAACAGTAGGCATCTATCTCCTAACATGACTATCTTTTTTTCTAGGAAAGCATGTCCCTGAAATTCCTAGATTCCTTTGCATAAGGAGATCGTGTGATTTTACAGCCTTTCTTTACTTATTACAATCCTAAAATGGATTGTTGCTTTAATTAATAATGATCCACTTTACGTTCAAATAAAGGTAAATCACATCTGTGTAAAAACTAATCACATCTTTCTTTTTTGTCTATGGCCTGGGAATTATTTCTTCGTTAAAAGAAAAAAATTAAATTGAAACAGGTATGGAAGGATATTAGGTGTACCTAGCATTCAGTTAGTGATTTTCTGTAGTGAACATGATGATGTACTTAGTCAAACTAGTGATGACTGCTTTCGAGGGATGACGTCACATCTAAGCTGGAACCTGACTTCTTTTAGGAGAAGAGGGCTGGGAGAGGTCTGCTGCATTCATTTTAGTGCTTCAGTAGGCAGTTGCATCTCATAATCAGATGGATAAATTGGTCAAGGTCCATCTAGAACTTCTCCGATTTCTTTGACCACAACCCTACTATGGGATATCTGTTCATAGCTCTGATGGTTAGAAAGAAATCTTTTCCTGATTTCCACCAAAATGTATCCTTTGGGCCATGGTAAAATCAATCTTCATAACATTTATGTATCTGATATATTTACAAAGAGAAATCATATTCCTTCTCAGCCGTAATTTGCCTGGCTAAGTATAGTAAGCTATTTCGGTCTCCTCCCACAACTCCATTTTCTAGATTGTTTTTCTCTGACACTTTCTCGTTTTGTATTCAGTAGTCTTCTCGAATTTGCCTTTCCTGAAAAGAGGCGACCAGAATTGTTTACTGTCTGTGGCTGCTAAAAATGCTTTTCTTGATATCTATCCTAAAGCTGTATTTCCTTTATTCTTATCTTTACCTGAGTGAGAGCTACAGCATGTGATAAAAAAATCTTTTCCATAGTCTTGCACTCATTATATTTATTTTTAATTGGTTTCCATTACTCTGGTCCTCAGGGTCGTCTGCTTTATTCCGAAAGGTACTGTCATCATCAGTATTTATAACGCATCAAAAGTTCATATAATTTCAGCCAATTTCAGTAGTAGCCTTCTGCTTCTGGGAGCAAAGACACTGATGGAACCCTCCGAGTAACATCAACTTTTTTCCCCCTAGGAATATCAACTTTTACTAGTTAGCCATGATTTTGCTTTTTCCCCCTCAAGCTGAATTAACATTTGCCATAGGTGGATATACCCCCAATTAATTCCCTTACCTGTACCTCACCACTGCTAACGGGACAGGGAGGTTGGACATATGGTTCCTCGAGTTGTGCTGGGCTGTCTCATCCTGGCAGGATGCCATCCAAATAATTCATACAGATCAGAAGTGTGTCCTTCATTCTTTTCTCCTGTTTTGCACTGGGTGTGTACCGAAAGGGCTAACATCGTTCTGTGCTGACTCTAAACTTGTACTGAGGGAGACGTGGGGAAGCAAGCGAGAGAGCACATCGTTGGTTAGTTTTAAAATATTGCTGTTAACACCATATATTTATTATGAAAACAAGTTCTTGATGAACTTCAGCTCAAAACTAACTGAATAATTGTCTATTTTAATTTAAGGCTCAGGAGACATGGACAGTATTTCCAAAGTGAGTATCTAATCAAATATTCTAAATTTTTAGAATGTTTCACTCTCTAAACATTTTGTCTCTGTTACAAAGCTTTTTATTATGTATCTGCATTTTCTTCTTGTCAACTCCTTGGAGACTATGTAGGCAGAATGAGTATTAATTGAAAATTTAAAAACAAGATAATCAATTGGGAGTATAAGTAGACTTATTCCCTACCACGTAATAATGTGTATTAATGAATGTGACTCTATCCAGTTCATAATGTGATTGATCATGCTATAATCTTCCGTACTGTTAAGATAGATGAATATAGTTCAAATAATCATTTCTAGTTAAATGCAGATTTGTAAAAATGTCATTAGGATGTTACTTATGTGCACGGCATGATTGCTTTTGTCACCTCTGTAAGGCAATGTTAGTATCTTAATCATTAGTATAAGTTGCTAAAAGATAGATTAAGAACTAGTTTCAGAAGAAGCACTGTTCTGATACTGCAACCATTAAATAGTTGGAAATGAATGTGAGTTTACCCTGCAAGGGTTTTGCATCTACAAAAATAATACTGTGCTTGAATGTGGCAGTTCTTCTGTAAAAATAACACTACTACATGTGTGATCATCATTAATTTAGGAACCAATGAGCTTACTTGGTTTTGATAAAGATGTTTTGTACTCGTCGCCTTGAGATGTAACTGACTGAAACCAGTAAGTGCATCACTACAGCGATCCCCCTGCACTTCATGCTTTTGATCTCTAAATACATAAATTAATGAAGAGATCATTCCAGTTAAAATTTCGTAACTTGTTCGTTTGTAGCAAAATTCTTAACAATCTTCCAAGAAAGGAGCATGAGCTTGTTTCGAGCACATCTGCTGCCGGTACGTTTTGGTTGCCCCAGGACTGAGTACCACGGTGCTGTCGCTACGTCTCTCCCAGTGCAGGCTTTGCCGTTTGGGATGTGCCTGAGGCTGCTCAGCACGTGCTGTGGTCGTGCTAGAGACCGTGCTGTGGGTCTGTTCTCGGGAGACACGTCGGCATGCCAGTGCGTAAGGAACAGAATGCTCACCTAATTTTCCATGGCTTAACACAGAAGTCTGTAGTGTGAATTGGTTAGGATACACTTCCAGGCGTTCAAAAGGCAGGAGTCATTCTTCACTTAGTGATACATATTTGTACATCCAAAGAGGGGGAGGAGGATGCTGTACAGTTCCCCAGTTTGTGGTCTTCTGGTCTGGGGGGGCATGGGAGAGGGGTAGCCTGTAAAGTGTGCTTACCATCTACCTTTCCTGGAGAGAAGGACCTCAGCTGTATGTGTCCCAGGCTCCCTTGCAGGAGCAGCATCTATAACAATCCTATATCTTTGTACATTCGTAAGATCTGTAGCATTTTCAGGTTCTGCAAAGAGAAAAACGACGGATTGAAATGACCATGCTGCATTAGTTGTGCCGAGCTTGCAGTGATGGATTCCATATAAACCTCCAACGAGATAATCAGTGTACAGCACACTTAAAATCAGTGTCCATATTTTTTTCTTCAATATTTTTATTGCAAACTGCAGGATTTTGTAAGGAAAAAAACCCAAAACATGTCTAGTAGGTTGCTATAGGATGTTATTCAAAAGCCTGTATTCAAACCACTGGTATTAAGCATTAGTGTATATGCTAATACAAGTACCAGGAGCTCTGAAAACTTGGATTCAAAAATTGATCTGAAAGTCTTGTAGTTTATAACTGTAATAGATAACTCACGGAAATCACATTTGATGTATGCATTTTTCAAATAACTAAAAAAAAAAGGCAGTTTACTTAGGAAGTAGCACAGTTGCCCTGTTACAGCCTTATATGTAATGGCTTTTAAATATCTTTTCTGAACAGCACTGCCCAGTGTGCAGCCTTCACTGGTAGTAGTAAAAGTGCGTGGGTAGCATTGGTAATTTCGGGTAAGCAGTAGTACATAATGATTTGAAACCTAAATGGAAAAGTTGTGCTATCAAGGAGCAGTAGATTAGTGCGGTTGTTGCATGCAAAATTATGTGGCTGACTTCCAGTTTTGTAGACAGCTACCAGGGCTGTTCTTGCTGAGGCAACAGTCTCCCTGTATACGTCACCAGCTAGTCTTGCAGCTCACCGATTTCCAGTGACGGCAGTCGCTTGCTGAAGCTGACACCGTCTGGGGTGTGCGTTGCCAGACTCTCAAGTCCGGGCGCAGGACCTGAGTGGAGTAAAACGCACGGTAGAGGCGCTGATTATCAATTCCCAGGAGATACAGGAAATTAGTCCAGCCTTGGTAGAATCAGTGCAGCTCACAGAAAATTCAGAGCTGCATTTTCAAGAGAAGACTTTAATTGGCTGAATGGCAAAACATGAAGTTTTTATGAACTAGATTGAGACGGGGGAAGTAAATGAACTGAAATTATGCATATTAAATAAACATTAATAACCAGTGTTTCTGCAGTGCCCGTGGAATTTGTGCAGGCATCAAAGGCATACTTGGTTTGGAAAAACTCAGCTAGTGCTACAGCGCTAGACCCCATACTGGCCATAAAAGCAGCCCAAGGGGAGTTGCTATAAAAGCATTTATGTCAGGAATTTGAACCTTTGGGGCTGGCGTACTGTAGCGATGGCAGATTTTCAAAGCTTTGCGCTACACAGAGCAAGATAAAACAGGGGTAAATCCCCCAGGAATGAAGAAAAGTGCAGGAGCATCATATAAAATAAATGTGACAAGGCCTCAGTGAGTTTTAAGCTTTATATTAATAGATTTTAAGGCCAGAAGGGACGGATACAGTTGTGTGGTGTGACCTCCTGCATAACACAGGCAACAGGACTTTCTGAATTAATTCCTGCTTAAGGTACAGTAGCTGTGGTTGAACTAAAGCGGCAGTTTTCAACCTTTCTTTTTAAGCTGTGGATCCCTAAGTATTTTGCTATACTAACTGCAGCGAATAGCAAACTTAATTGTCAGACGTTAATTAACTAGTTAGGCTTTTAGTTGTCTTTGGTGGACGTGTTGTCCAGTGATTTTCCTGGAGGTCTGAGAACTGTGATCTGGGGAAGTTTCAGAAGCAGTGAGCTGGACTGAAGAAAGCAAAAGGGAAAAGGCAGGGGTCTTGACCCAACTCCGTAAGTTGCATTTCAGGTGCTAACAAAAACCAGTTGTGCCTGCATGTCTCTCATGGAATTAATCTTATATTTAATTTTTAACTGAAAATAAATACACTGAGCTGAACCCATAAACATATTTAGCCATTCAGACTGAGAATGGTGATCTTCCACCAGGGAATATGGTGAAAACATAACAGCAGCCTTTCGTTAGCTACACAAAACACACTGCAAAGCAGACAGTAGGTACAGCCGTCTCGCGCTCCACTCTGCCAGCCTGGTAGCAAAAAGTAATTGATTTAAGTTTTGGTCTTCGGTGAAGCTGGGAACAAAGCTTTTTGTTCTCTGTGGAGGTGAAATAAATCCTGTGGATCACTAGAATATGTTGCAATATTTAAATAATGGTCAGTGGTCAACATGGGACTTCATATTATCAACGGGAGCATGCAGAAATTCAGTACGAAGGGGAGGTAGAAGTCACGGCTACCCCATTTTCTGTTCAGTGACTGCTCCACTGTACCTCTTTAAAATGCCAGGGTAGGATAGACAGCTTTGGAGTTCTGAGGAAAATGCCAAGAAGTTAGGAGGATTTTCTCTTCTTTTAGTGATTGCTGGTTTTCATTCAAAGTTCAACCTCTTGCAGATTTAGTTACACTAAATGAAGACTGCATGCAGGTTCTTTCAAAGTACAAAATACCTTGGCTTGTTTAAGAAAGAAATCTCTACGCTGGTAGACCTATTGTGTCAGGATTGCAGTTGAGAATAACATAGGAAAGAGAGAAATAATTCACTTAGGATTCTTACAGCCATTAGGATTTGGTCACTTTGATCAAGAGCGCGACTTGGAGTTGCATTTTGTCAGTTTTCCCATTGATTCTACTAGGTTTGCGTTAAATGTATTATGTTGTACAAAATTTGCCCTTGTGTAAGTAAAAGCTCAACAGCAATATTGCATTCAGGTTTTCTGGATTAAAAAACAAACAAACAAACAAACAAAACAAAAAAACCCACACCAAACCCAAAAATCAAGGCAAGAACTGTGGTAGGCATAAACATTTCATAATGAAGTTCACTCCTTCACTCCCTCCTTTGCCCGGCTGCTCCTTTTCCATCACAAACCCTGTACAAGTAGGAGTCTTAACAGTGATGGAAAGAGAATCACCCATGTTCTGGGCATGGTGGAGTTCCACAAATGAGCTTTGTAAAAACACCTATTTTTAGTTTCTAGAATAATCATGTATTACCTATTGACTTAGAATAACTTCTGTGCCTATTACCTCATTTCACCCTTTCTGGAAGTAACTGAATCTTGAAAGCATTTCCTAAACATTGCAGAGGTGGTGGTACAGGAGCACTTCTTTAAAGAAGGGGGATCTATCTTCAGGCAGCTTTGTGGTGTTATTATCTATGAGCATTCCTGTAACACCTAGACGCTGAAAAGGTGGGTTAACACGCTCTTTGCAAGGCAATGGCTCCTGGAAATGTCTAAAGCCCTGTCCAGTGGCCAGGTGTTACTCGGGACTCCTTTGTCTAAAACCCTTGTAACACTTCCAGCTGTAAGAGCTGTGCTCAGTGAGGCGGTTTAGCACTTGAACCACGCTTGTGAACTACTTGCGGAGCTGTATTTCAATAAATGGTGAACATACGAACGAAGACCCCAGGCACAGCCTCTGCAATGGTCTGTGTGGACCAGATCCATCCATACGTCTACCTTTAAGTAGCTGTTTGGAATTCACATATGTCAAGGCACACGCTCATAGACTTCCCTGGATTTTACCACAGGATTTAATGTAGTGACAGAGCTACCTTCTGTACCTGCTGCAGCCATTTATACCTCTTGCTGACTTCAGTAGGAAGTGCTGGCTATAACCTGAAAACTAGAATTGCACGTCAATAATTCCTGCTTCAGGGAAGAAAGCAGTACTTTATAGGCTAAAATTAGTAACTGAATCATGCAGAACCCTGCAGAGGCTTATTTTCCATCTCTGAAAATCCCAGTGCATTGCACAGTGCATCTTCATGTGCTGTGGTATCGTGTAACGCGTGCCTTTGCCACCCTTGGCGAAGCTGAGAAATGAATTGAAATCTTCCACACTTAACTTGTATTTTAAAATCTTACTTAACAGAACTCTCCCAGTAATATGAGCATGAGTAATCAGCCTGGCACTCCCAGGGATGACAGTGAGATGGGTGGAAACTTCCTAAACCCTTTTCAGAGTGAGAGCGTAAGTATTTCTTTACCTAGTTGGATTTGTTTTTTACTTTGTGAATCTTTATCTCTGGTGTTTTCTTAAAAAAAAAAAAAAAAGAGAAATAATAACAAAACCAAATAGTTTTGTAGTGTACTTGTAATGCAGTACTGTGCCTCACATGTTTTTTACTAGCTTCTGAAATGACAATATTGAGTTGACAGAAAAATGTGCAAAAGACTGATAGAAGTTGAGCTGAAACTGAAAAATGTGGGAGGTGTCGATTTACTGCAGGAACTCTTTTTCTAGATTAAGAGGTCAGTTGTCAGTGTAGGTTAGATCTGTCAAGCAGTAATAATTACGCCTCACGTATTCAGTAATGCACAACAGGCGATACCCGAGCAGCCTGAACAGACATAGTTGACAGATCCGTACATCTGAGTATTTCAATGTGTGGTTGCCCAACTTTGGATTCCTAAACAATATTTTGCAGGGAATGTCTTCTAGGACAGGATTCACACTGAAGTGTATAATTAGATCACCAGTAGATACCACGTTGCAAGGATGCAGATAGAGCCAGAAAAAGCAGAAGTTCCCTCTAGCGTCCATTCTGGGACAAATGTTGCTTTTTTAAAATGGAGAATGCTTGAGGCAGCAAAACATGGTGGTAAATACATTAACAAAGCAAGACTACAGTGTTTTCATACTCACATGCCTGAAGCTGGGTTTCCAAATCCACATTTAGGTTCCTAAATAGGAGTGGCCTGGTTTTTCAGAAGTGCTGAGTGACTTGGACACTTCTGTTCTTACTGGAAATCACTGCTGCCAGGAGGAGTGCAGCTTCATTAACTGTGCCAGTGGTGAACGTCAGCTCACAAGTTATGACGAGTAGACCGTTTCTGTTAGATCACAGACAAATCGCATGACAAATTTCATGGGAATCAGATTTCAAGGTTTTTTGGGGTTTGCTTCTTTAACCAGCAAAAAGGAAGAGTTTCTGCGTGTTAGCTGTTGACATCTTATAAAGAGGGTACATGTTCAGATTGTGTGGAGTATTGGAGAAAATTGCTTTGTACAACCCAAAACCAACCTTTTTTGGCAAATCTTTCAATATCTGCCAAAAAAACTCCAGTAACCACAGAACCTCCATTAAATGTGATCCTTGGTCATGGTGATCCTTGACTCCGTGTCTCACATATGTTGCTTGTACTGAGAGCAGGCATTCTGATCAGCAGGCAGGCCGGTTCACCAACTGAGGTCATGAAAAGAAGCACATCAGTTGTACTCAGAAGAAAATCAGTTTTCTCAGTCACGTGCTGGATTCTAGATGCTCATAGATGGTGTTTTCTTACCTGGAAGAACCTGGTACACAGTTTCCTCAAGGTTTTTACATGAGATGTATACCTACAAGGCACGCATTATGCATGCTGCGTGCAGTCTGGTCCACTTCTAGGTGTTGGTTGCTCTCTAACATGCCCAGTTGTTGTCCTTGGGAACTGTCATGCTTTCTGATTGTATTTATTAACTTGGCTACTTAGGGCAAGCATTACTGTGAAGCCCTTCCTCACGAAAATTTGCTCTTTGGGAGTTTTGGCTGGGGGTGGGAACAGTGCTTAATAAGTTGAAAAGGACAAACACCCTCAGGTCGTCTTTCTATTCCTTGTCTAAAGTGACAGGTTACCCAGGTACTTTGGCTCAGATGCAGGCAATCGCTTGAACAGATGCTTTGCTTCAAGCGACCCATGTGGTCTCTGACTTCGGCTGAAGATAAGTGTGATCTTACTAGCTTTGCTGACCCGCTGTGGGAGCGCTCGGCAGGGCGTGATGGGAGTAAGCACCAAAGCAGACAAACCATCAGAGACGTGACAAGGGGCGCAACAGACTTTACCCAAGTAGTCCATTCTGTGTAGTTTACATGACCCAAATTGTTTTTCTAATATGCTTGGACACTTGGAAGTGGCCACATTGAAACTCGACCTGTGGCAGGATTTTTATGGCATGTCTATTCTTTGCGAAGGCAAATTTATATTTCTGTATCAGTTTTCATACTGCTGATACTTCTTGCATTTGAGCATTTTCTTCCACTTAGAAGATTTTAGACCAGATTAAGTGTTTCTGCAGCCCACAACTTTCAATTTAAAACACAAATTAGGCATATAGACAAGCACTTCTTCCAGGCATCGTGGTGTCCCAGTGACTGCTGTAATGAAGTACTGCTAACTTGAGGGCAACTGTAGCTTGTATAAGGTCTGCATCCGTTTGGGTTACAATGCTGATGTGATGTGGTGATTGAATTTTTGGTTCATGTAAAGAAGAACGACCACTTGATTCAGCTTGCCTCCTAGAATCCGTAATACAGAATAACAGAGACCAAAAGCCTAGTTTAATTCCAATCACACATATCTTTACACTCTCCCTTCCCGTAAAGTAATGAAAAGGTCTCCAAAACATGTATGTAGTTCAGCTAACCGCAAATGCAGCTGGGCTCGAGACTAGCCACTGACCTACCTAAATCCGCCTGTAGCCAGCACTGACCAGGAGAAGGTGCGGAAAGCATCCATGAAGCATTGGTTCATCCCAGGTAACACCAGGTAACATCAAAACAGTCTTCAAGGAAGATGGCTTCATCAGCAGTAGCGGCATGTTTGCGTAATGAGGAAAGCGTAGCGGAAGGTACGGTACTGCAGACTGAACTACAGCCTTAGCACAGGCTGCAGGACAGGCTCTGGAGGAAGTTCAAAGAGTCTGTTGACATTGGACCGCATTGCCGTGGTCCAGGAGTGGGTTTAGTTACCTGGGGGGGGAGGAAAAATGGTTGTTAAAATGTGGATTCCTCTTTTTTCAGTACTCCCCTAGCATGACAATGAGTGTGTGATCCGTTAACAAGTCTCGCCATGAAGACCACAGTGAGTTGGCCCTCTTCAGAGAGCTACTGCAGAAGAAAATTACTCGTCCCAGTGTACAGTTTAACAAAAGGATCTCAGACACAATCAGACCCACCTTTTTTTTTTTTTTCCACCATCTCCCCATTTTGTCAAGACAGTGGGTCCCAAACATGATTGAGGCAACTGTAAAGAGTGGCGTAACAGAACTGCCCAAGATGGAACTGCAAACAAATAATCTGTGTATGTACATGTGTGGGCTAATGTATGTGTATGTGTGTGTGATATAGAAATACACACATACATATACAGACCCACAGCACATTGTAAAATACTTTCACATGACATCTTAAGTAGAAATGAGAAGTAGGGACTTCTATTCCATCTTCTTTTTTTCCATGTTTACATTTTAATTATTAAAATTTGCTTTCCCTCTCCCCTCCTGAACTATTTTATGTTGCTTATATCACTGCTCTATAAGTTATTTTTTAAGGTGAACTCAAATGATAAATTCTTCTGATTTTGTAAATGTCTGCCATTATGGATAGGAATAAAATTGGTTATAAGAGCTTTCATTAACTTGTGTTTGATACCAGTTACCCTGTGAATCACAAACTGTACTGTCTTAAGAAATAGAAGAAAGCTCATATTAATTTTTTGGAATAATTTTCACCTAGTTTGGTGATTTTTTTTTTTAATACTTTGCCTTTAAAAAAAAAAAAGCACTGAAGGTTATTTTTCTTCTTTAATTGAAGCCTAATATCTGCAATATCTATTTTAAATGTAAGCCTAAATTTGATACAAGCTTCTCAGCTTATATAGATTACTATAAGGTTACTGTAAGGGAGCTCCAATTGCTATAGAATCTAGCAATAAAGCGTCAGGGCTTCTTCTGCCCCTGGAAATGAGTTTTCTATTTAGCATGATCTTCCGTAAGGATGGTAGTTAGTGGAAGTGCAGTAGAGTCCTTATCACTGAAACCTTTTCTAACGATTTACTATTACATTTCCCATTTTCATTGATTCTCAGCCAAATCGTAACAATCCAGTCCTAATTATAAACAGTATTTCTCAAGCCCATTCAGGTCACCCTGCTCCTTGGGTGTGTGTTTTTCACCATGTCCTCCGGAAAGAACTCACCCAAAATCTTTTGGAAAGGTTGGGGGTTTTTTTTGAGCCAAAATGGTGGAGTAAACTACTTTATGACTGCTAGCCTTATGAGGGTCTTACCTTTTGCCATAAACAGAAGAGGAACAAAGGTGTGGGCCATTTTGTAAGGAGGTCAGCCTATTGGATATGAAAGCTGGGGACAGAATGGGGAGAAGGCGTATGGTCTTAAAGGAAGCGCTTCTGGAAGCAGCCACATGTCTCTTCAGGCAAACTTCTAAACCCAACGTTATGGTACATTTAGTTCCCAGTGACTTCCAGCTCCCCCAAGAAAACAAAAGTTTTCAGTTGCGTAGTGGTGAAAGGGTTGAGGATCAGCAAGGCAGGCGCAAAGTGAATGAACAACAAAAAATTGTGCCGCAGACGAAAAGGAAAGTCCCCTCCTTGGACCCTACATACAGAAGAGCAACTTACGTAGGAGGAGCAGTTCTGAGGTGTGGTATGTCCATGAAGTCTTGCAAGGAGGGTTTTTTTTCATGAACTTGTTGATAAAGAAGCATATGTAGTGGGCTCATTGTGATGGTAGCTGCTTGTAACGGGAAGTGTAAGGAATACTGCAGTCTCACTCATTTTTATTTACATATCGTATATATATAAGATTATATATATAACATATGAAAATAAAAAGATGTAACACATTTTTCTCTCTTGTTAGGGCTACTCAAATATGAAACTCTCAGAGGCTTAAAATTGTGTTGAAATATCAAAGACTTTGGTAGCATTACTTTTTAGTAATAATAACTACTCTGATTAGTTGTAAGCATAAACTAGATAGTCATTATATGGTTTTGTGGACTTTATTCCCAGTGATGATAAAAGTCACATTCATTTGCTTATCTTTGGAAAACACCTTGTTGCAGCCTCAAAAGATGTGCTAGAAGCCCCTACTATTGATTTGAGTTACAGAAACATAAAATCGGATCTAATTTCCCAAGACCTTTCGCTGTTGTCACTAATCCCACTGGTTTTAATGACTGTGTCCTCAGTGCACCCCAGCTTCTCCCGTAACAGTGCAGAGTCCAGGCTTCCTTGCAGCCTGCATCTGACATCAGTATTTTCCTTCATAGCCTCCTGAGAAGGACTTTAGGACCCTTTTCTGCCCAGTTTCCGTCAGATGATGTCACTGCTGCTGGACTAAGGTAGATGGATGTGTCTGGACTGTGTGCCCAGTGCCGAAGCCCATTCACGCTCTAGGTAAGCGTGCCCTCGAGACAGCTTTTAAACCATGGAGTGCATCTGCGGTCTGTTGACCCCCTGTACTGTCCCATTCCCAGCTGGGGTCCTGCAGGCAAGCAGTGTGTCCACTGAGCTCGCGACAGCTGGCCGTGGTGGCACGGCTGAGGGCTCTCTTACGGGACAGAGTACGTGCTACCGCTGAAGCTTCGTACTGGGGCAAAATTAAGCAGAATCAGGGCTTGGTATTAATCAGAGACTTATTTTTCTTTTTGAATTTGGCATTGTCTGCAATATTTTAGCTTGTAGGCACCTGTTAAGGATTAAAGTCTGACCATTAAATCTGTGCAAAGAAACCCCTGAAATGGAACTACGGACACACATTGAATGTCATTACCAAATATGTTATCCTAATCTATATACGGGAGCATAACATCCTTTCAGGCACGTAACTTTTTCTTCCTGTAGTTCCTTCAAACTCCCTTACACACAATTTTTCTTACTTTGTTTCCCCTTTCCATTTCTTTCCCAAAAAAACCTCTGTCAAATTAAACATGGTGGTATTGATCCTGCAGCATTAATCTCAGTACATACACTCATGGCTTCAAAAGGATCAGCATCAGGCTTCTCATAGCCTGTCGCTCTGTGCCCTGATGCTGCAAGTTGCGTGTCCGGCACATCTCCTACCTGCCCAGCCGTCACAGACTCAGGGGATAACAGATGTGCAAGCTTGCAAAATTTTAGATTTGGAAGCTCTGCTTGAAAACTCCGTGCGTATCTTATTGTTAGAATTTTAATTAGACATAAAGAAACCTAACCATCTTCCTTTCTGTAGGGAATGCTTGCATCCCTGTTCATGAGTAGAGTTACTTACCCGTGTATCGATTAGGTCAGGGGATAATAACCACGTGTAGGTTCTGCAGCTGAACCATTAGAAAAGAGTCTTGTGTGCTACTCAGCTTTAGAATTATAAACCCTTGGGGGTTTGTTCTGGTTTTGGTTTGGTTTTTGGTTTGTTTTGGGTTTTGTTTTTGGGTTTTTTTTAATATGCATAGTGTGTTTCGCTTGTTCCTTTGTTTCCTTTCTTCTGCTTATAAATCCTTGTAGGATTTTCATCATATCTAGAGTATTAATGTGGAAAGACAGACTATTTCCACACACTCCTTTTTTTACTCCCGCTTCTGTTTCCAATGCAGTAGGTATCAATGTGTAACGTAACTGCTGTTTGTATCTGCCCTTATGCAACAGCATTATTGACAGTGTCAGAACCTGTCCAGCTCTGCAAGGAATTTTAAGTGATGCAGGATAAGTCTTGCCGTGCTGGGTTTTTAGATAGAATTCTCTCTTTAGTATAGAAGTAAATAGATCATGATTCTGTAAATGGGCCTAGGTTGAAGTAAAGCTTTTTAAAAACAGAGGTGATGAAGTCTTAGAGTAGCAGAAATAGGGTATAATGGATCTCTCATGCTGTGAGAGCTCTGGCAGATATTCTGGACTTGTGGAAATCTGCTGAAATTGGGAGTCACTTGGGAAGTTCATATTCATACCCAGATTTTATCTCCATGTCGCCCAGATTTTATCTCCTTGTCTGTCTTGCATAGGCAAGAAGGGGGGTTAGGGCAAGGAAGAAGCTGTATGAATCACAGGTAAAGCGTGTGGCCTGACGTGTGCATTAAAAAAATACCTGGATATTTGCATGTATGGGTTGCACTATTTTCTTAATTGCCCGAGCATGGGGAAGAACTGCAGTTGCACTCCTTGTTCTCCAACTCCACTGCCAAGTGAGTTTGGGGCCTGTAAAAAATGTGGCAATAACCTTGAGTCGAGTCTTCGACGCAGCACACGCTGCTCAATGAAATAAATGTGCCGCCGCTTGGCTCGGGGGTATCTTGGGGTCACAGTCCCCAGACCAGAGGGTCATCCGTCAGGCGTGAGGATGAGGCCACATTTGCCATGTTTTATTTGGAAGCCTTCTGGTTGCAGAGGCCACACCACCAGTGGGTCATGTGTTCAGAGTCAGGAACAACTTTTACACTTGCCAGCCTGATCCCCTTGATGTGAGATAAATGCCCCATGTCCCGAGGCATCCATCTGTTGCTTCCCCTTGCAGTGGGAATGCGCAACGAAAAGTACATGGGCTGATTATTGATATTAAATAATTCAAATTTGGGGGAAGTGAATAGACTCGTGCTTCTTTATGGATAGCAGTTCATGCATCAGAAAGACGCTTCCTGACCTGGCTAAAAATCACTTGGATTTCCCCTGTTCTGTGGCTGGCAAATGAAATACTGCACGTAAAGACGATTCGGATGAGATGGCTAATTTAATGAGGGACCAGCTGTTAGAATGTTCAGTGTTGAACATTTTATTCTTTTTTTCCCTTTACCAGTCAAAACTAATTTTCAGCTGATAAATTTTGCACCGATTTCTATTTCTGAGAGCAGGTAATTATTTTTAAGTGTAATCTCCCATCATCTCTGATTCTTTGCTGTTGTTGTGATTGCTAATTTGGACTGGATTCTTCAAGATTTGAGCCTACACATTTGCATTTGGAGAATGTAAAATAGAGCTTAACGATCAAAAAAAAAAAAAATCAGTACAGGTAAATCTATTTTTCTTTAATTCACCATAAGTGATGATATAACCATGGCTCCTGTCCCAACCACGCTTGGGTTTGGTTGGACCCTAAAGATGGGGATCCTGACAAAGCACAAATAAAAACCAAAAAACTCTTCCAACAAATACAAGAATTCATTACACTAGAGATAAATGAGTTAGATCTAGTTTTTAGAGTGTGCAGCTTCCTCTGTTTTCTAGACATTATTGGCTCGGTCCTATAAGCTGCTGCTCATCCCAGTTGTCCTGCTTAAACTGTGGTGAAACCACTCACGTAAGGTCACTTTTTGGTGGGATTTCACCCTGGTCTGGCTGAAATACAGAATTTATCTGAGGTGTGACATTCGTAAATAGAGCAACATACACAGGGTCTGTTGAAACCACCAAAATGATTTTTCAGCCTGAAAAACAAGGAAAGTTCCTTAGGTAAAATACGGCTTTTGAGTGTATGCATGCAAATTGCGTTCACGTTTGTTACAAATACAGCCTGCACATAGTTAATTTTAAACAGATTTAAGAGTCAAAGTAGTATCCTTCCAGAAAGTGGGACTGCTACTATGCGAAAACTCTGCTTGAGCATGGGCGGTCTAGAAGCTCCAATTGAGTGTTCCCTTCAACAGACATTATTTTAAAGATTTTACCAGTGCAGGAGCATGTTTATGTATCAGTAGTACTGATACGCGAACAGATTTGGCTTTCTTCTGTTTCTTACTTTACTAGAGCATTGTTCACTAGTACACGAGCTGTTTTTGTGAACTTGTCCTTCCATGTTGTTTCCAATTGTGCAGCCATAGTTTCCCTCAACATAGCCAACAGCTTTGCAATTTTAGTCCAAACTTCTGTTTGGCCACTGTTCTTCATTTAATGTGTAAGAAAGCCTCTCATGTAA